CCTCCTCCTTTTCCTCCCCCTCTTCCTCTCCCATCCTCCCCCTCTTCCTCTCCTATCCTCCCACTCTTCCTCCCTCCATCCTCCCCTCTTCCTCTTCTATCCTCCCCCTCTTCCTCACGTCCTCCTCCTTTTCCTCCCCATCTTCCTCCCCGTCCTCCTCCTCTTCCTCCCCATCCTCCCCCTCTTCCTCTGCCATCCTCCCCCATCATCCCTCTCCCCCGTCCTCCCCCTCTTCCTCCTCCATCTTCTCAGTCCTCACTCTGTCCCTCGGCGGCTCGTCGTACCGCAGCATCCATCAGGCGGTGACAGCAGGGCCGTAACATAAAGACAGCGGGGCTGCGTTCTCTGGGAAGCCCAACAGCCGGACCGGGCCTCATTACGTATTCATCTCGGGTCGGTACCGGCGCTCGATTGGGTTCAGAGGGCTGCAGCTTTAGATGCGAGGCCAATATACACAGAGTATAAAAGTTTGATGGGGCGTCTCGGCCAGCTGCTGCCGTTAGTGGGAAACAGAGGATGATAACGAACAATCCTTCACCTGCTCATAAAACCGGTCTGGACTTCAGTTCTTATTGCAGTCTGTGTTCTCTGAGGTTCTGACCCGCTTTATGCCACTGATACACCACAGACCGAGGGACTCACTAACGCACAGATACACAAGGATGAGGGTGTTATCACTGATGAAGATGATGTCCTGCAATAAAAAGTGTTTTCTGCTGAGAATTGAAGATTTTTCTCCTCATTCTAGCGTCGTTGAGCCGTCTGACCCTCCTTGCTCTGCTGTCTCACCCTCAGCTCTACATCCAGACCACCACGCTGACCATCTCCATGAACCTGAGCGCCTCCGTGGCCCTCGGCATGCTCTACATGCCCAAAGTCTACGTCATCATCTTCCACCCAGAACTCAACGTTCAGAAGAGGAAACGCTCCTTCAAGGCCGTGGTCACCGCCGCCACCATGACGTCACGACTGTCCCACAAGGCTAGCGAGCGGCCCAACGGAGAGGCCAAGACGGAGCTGTGCGAGAACAGCGACCCCAACAGTGAGTACCCACAGAACCCTGGAGAACTCCGGGCTTCTTTCAGGGAGCAGGAGTTTAAACGGCTCAGAGCTGGAGTTTATTGAAGGAAGCGTTAAAAAGAAGAAACGCAAAGTGATCATTGTTTCCATTGAACCATGCAGCCATGAAATGTTTTATTTATTCAGATTTTGGTTTTTCCTGGACTGAGAGTCTGAGGAGAACCAGCTTCAAGTTCTTGACCTTTGTCACGGGTTTCTGTGTCCCAGACGAGGGGCAGGGAGGGTTTAATGCCATCTACAAAGGTGTAAGGAGACCTTCTGTTACAAGAACCTGCAGGACTAACACGTCATAAGATATTGAAACAAACAGTTTAAATAATATATATATTTATATTTCTCATGGTTGTGGACCGAGGGTCTTGTCTGGTCCCGTCTCGTGAGACAGTTGTTTCTTTCAGAGACACAAATTCATAACTCAGAATAAATTCAACTCAATTAAGCAAAAAGAGAGCGTTTAGGAGCAGAACCACCCAAAACCTCCTGCCTGAAAGGTTCTGATGATCCACAGTTCCTCAGACCCTTCAGCACCCGTTCCAAGTTTTGGAAAATGGATACATTCAATTCTAAAAGGCGACGTTGGCTCCTCTAATCTTCTCTAATCTCCTACCATCTTCTCTTGAAGTGTCAGTGCGTCACCTGACAGGAACCGTCCAAAACACACGGAGCTTCAAAAAACGCCTCACGTTGAACGTCTGCAACAATAAAAGACAAGAAGCTGAAATGACCCGGTTCTGTGATCAGAGGGACTCCCTGCAGGGAACAAATCACAGAATCGTGTTTCTCTCGTCCTGACAGGCTCGGTTCATAACGTATCAGAGGTCTGCTCTGTCCTGACCTCCATCCAGTCCTTCTGAATGAGGCGGAGGAGGCGGAGGAGGTCTGTGTGGAGGGAATGTTAAATATTCATCCCGGCTCTTTATCACCTTCCTCCTGAGCAGCTCATAACTTTTACATGAGGAGAAGCTTGTTCGGCTGTTGGAGCGGCAGATTTACGGAGGTTCTCCGTTGCTTTAACGACACTTCTGACCCACTCGACCTCACAGTTTACTGTGGCGCTCCTGAACTCATCACGAAGTCTGCAGCAGCTGGAAGGTCCAACAACCTCCTGAGGGACGGGCAGCCCGAGGAGGTCAGAGGACCGTCCACAGGAGGCGTTACAGAAAAACAAGAAGCTACAAAAGGAACCAGAACAGATTCAACCTGTTATAACGTGATCAGAAACTAAAACACCTGCCTTGGATTTAAAAGCAGTTCAAAGCTAAAGAAAATCTGTGGCTGAATTGAAATGGATTTCTGCATGAATCCAAACAAGCCAACAGAACACAGGCGAGGCAACATAAGGCCCATGGGCCAGAAGTGGCCGTCTCACTCCGGACCTCAACACCCTCTTAGGAAAACAAAAAGAAACAAATAAAAACAGGATTTCAGTAAGAACTCGACGGGAGAGTTAAAAGAAGGTTTATGGTGCAGATCAGGATTAATGAATAATTATTTCTTATTTACAATTGTTTGTTAAAATTTTTTCACAGGAACCATGTTTTATAATCAACCATGTTTTATAATCTGTCACTAAATTAAACGTTCTGACATCAAACATGCAGCTTTCAACACAAACTCATCTCGTTTTCGTGATTGTTGATCGTTTCTGCTCGTCTTTTTGCCGATAATGTGCTGATGTGTAACAGATGCATAACAAATGTGTAATAGATGTGTAACAGATGTTTAACCAAAGTGAAACAGGTGTGTAACAGATATGCAACAGATGTGTAAGAGGTTTGCAACAGCTGTGTAACAGATGTTCAACTGATGTGCAAGAGTTGTGTAACAGGTGTGCAACAAATGTTCAACAGGTATATAACAGGTGTGATTAAGATGTTCAACTGATGTGTAACAGGTGTGTAATATGTGTGAAGCAGATGTGTAGCAGGTGTGTAACAGGAGTGTAACAGATGTTCAACAGACCTGCAACAGGTCTGTAACTGGTGTGAAGCAGATGTTTAACAGATGTGTAACAGGTGTGTAACAGATGTGCAAGAGACGTTTAACGGATGTGTAAGAGGTGTGCAACAGCTGAACTGATGGCTCGGGGTGAGTCTCCTGATCTGGGATCAGATCCACCAAACTGCAGGTGGAAGTGTGTTGTTGTAGAGAAGATCTTAAAGAATATAACCCATTTTAATGTTTCCATAAGTTTTGTAAACCTCCCTTTCTGGTGAATCTGATCTTGACCTTTGACCTCACCTTCATCATCATCATAAGTTTGAAACACCTCAGCAGCCAATCAGAGCCACGCTGACCTGTGATTCTCTCCTTCTCTGCAGGTCCAGCAGCAAAAACGAAGTACGTGAGCTACAGCGACGTGGTGATCTAACTGGACCCCATCAGGACTTGCTGCAGAGACGTCTGGTCTCCAGATTTGATCTTGGGACCAGGAGGAAACTGAAGGATGGGGGTTTGGTTTCAGTTTTGTTCTCATGTGTTTCTCTGCCTGTTGGAAACATCTCAGCTTCTGGGCAAAGATGCAACCAGAAGATCCGGTCTGATTTGGTGTCATGGTGCTGATGGCAGCGGGGACCAATATGGCCGACAGACCCGCTGAGGGTCGAGCGCTCACCTCCTGTCGCCTCTTCCACCCTGAAAGTTCTGGGTCCTTCTTGTCGGCCCATTTGTTGCTCCTCGTGCTTCACTTACTTGATGTCTGGCCCAGATGGACCTCCTTGAACTGGTTCTGCTTCCTGGATCCACGTTTTGTCTCGTTTCTGCATTTTGAAGCCATATTCTGACCGGTTTGTGTCCGTGGTGCTGCCTGGACTGGACTTTTGTCAGTGTGAGGGACCAACTAACCACGGAGGATCTTTCAAAGCCTCTGGAATCAGTCGGTCTGGATCTGGACCTCCCGACCCCCACCTCTTTATCAATGCTGCATGTTTCACTTGGTTCATCAACTCTGGCTTTGGGGACTACACATCCCATGATCCTTTGTGGGGAAGGTACTGGTGAATGATGAATGAAATAAGTAGTGCTCCCCTGCTGTAACAGTGTTGTCTGTTTACATCCTGTCAGGTTTTTCACAATAAAAGCTTTTGTTTGCAGTGTTTCCTGTTGGTCCACATCATGGCTGTCTGTTTGTGGCTCTTTGTGTTTGTGATGGATCCCAGAAGTCAAACGGATCTAAATGTGCCTGTTCTGCATGTGAGCTCAGCCCCGAGGACTCAGGAGGACAGAAGGACGTCCACTTTTGAAGGGCTTTGGCTCCTCGAGGACCTGCAGGTCTGTGAACCAAAGCAGGCTCAGAACCTTTGGGGTCCCCTCGGAGGTTTCAGTCCCACCGAGCTGCGTCGGAGACTCGAAACATTTCAGTTTAATAAATAAAACTAACGAGTCGAGACGTTTGACTGCAGTTTGTCTCCAAGTCGGACCTTTTGTGGTTCTGTTTTCACTCCCAACAGAGACAAATATTTTAAAGAAAACATTTTAACTTTATTATTTATACCGAACTTAACTTCAGCTCCGAAACATTTTTAAAATAAACGCCTGAACGGCAGAAAAATAATAAAACAGTAAAAAGATTAAACAGTGATAATGGGAGGAACCGGATGTTGGACCTGCTCGGTACCACAGACCTCAGGCTGTTTGTTTTTTTTTGTTGTTTTTTGTTGGGTTTTTTTGTGTGTGTGGGGGGGGGGGGTGTTAATGAAAATCAAAGGTTTATTTCTTGTTTAGCTGTTTTATTTTACTTTGATCAGCTGAAGAGGTCGAACTCCTTCAGCTGAAAACATGAAGCAGAAAAGAAAAAGATTTCAAAGCTGAAATGTTTGTGACGATGACGATGGTTCCTCTGAGTGTTGTTGGTTTCTGATGATGATGATGAAGGGTTTCTGGCTCCGCCCACCGCTGAGCACCTGGTGATTCTGTGGGCCGCTGCTGTCCAGTGTGTTGATGCATGCCTGACGTGTTCGATGTTGAAACTGAAGCAGAAAAAAGGTGCAGGTTGATCCCACCTGTCTGCTCTGACTCGTCCTGTTCTCTTTGCTTTTCCTTCCTGTTCTGATCCTTTGAGCCAAACTTGATTTTCCTGGAAAGCATCAAAGAAAAAGATTATATATTTAAAAAAGACAACTTGTTTAAAGAGGAAGCATGTCTGTTTTTTTACTGTTTGTACTGTTTGCTGCTTCTGTGCCGATGTTGTTGGACAGATTCACATTTGGCCACTCATGCAACTTTTCCGTGGTGTTGTCTGGGAATGTATCAACATGAAATAAAAACATTTGTTATTTTTTTACCTAGTTCTTTCTAACGCGTCCTGATGTTTGAGTCTGTCGTCAGAACCAGAACCTTTCCTCACGACCCAAACTTTCTCACAGAGATGGAGGAAAGGAATGGAGAATAAAGTCTGAGTTCCTTTAAGACCAAAAAAAAAAACATTCAGGTCCAGAGAAGCTGAGATAAGCGTGCACTGTGCACAGTACCGGTACCGGTACCTGCAGCACAGTACCGGTACTGCTGTATCAGGACACTTGTGAGGACACTCGCTGAGCTTGTGCGCTGCTGTAAAACTTCTGACATGCTACATGTACAGTACCGTGTACATGTACTCAGTGTTCTGATACTGATACAGCAGTA